AGAGTGAAATACAGTACAGGGTCACACTACAGAGTGAAATACAGCACAGGGTCACACTACAGAGTGAAATACAGTACAGGGTCACACTACAGAGTGAAATACAGCCCTGGTTAATCATTACCTTCAAAAATCTAGATATATCAATCTTATCTTCGTATCTCATGGAGGCTACATTCTCAAACATCCAGAATAACGGCCTATTTGCATTTTCAACTTGCAAATCTCTCATCACACGATAAAAATCAAAGAACAAACAGCCTGTCCCACCTGAAATTACATATAGGCAGAACAAGTTTGAGTTTAAATAATTTGAAATCATTGTTATAACTGTTTTACACAATGGTATCAAATCTGAGCTTGGAATATGTACTTCGAATCATACACTATTTCCACACATAATGAAGCGAAATAAGAGTAAATCAAGGAGAGAAGAAAGAGAACTTAGAGAGAACTGCTGTGATGAGTATACATATTATGCAAATTATGAAATTAACATGCTAGAATTTAAGTTCAAAATTAATCATATCTTTAGTATTGTTCCCGAGCACTTAAATGTTAAGTCTTATTGAAATGCAATAATCTTTTTTTGAGATATAGGTAGAGGATTGGGTAATTATTATGCAAATAAACATTTATCATGCCTTAAATTATTATGCATTATAAACAATTATTATTTAAACCGAAAAATAATTAAGTCAAAATAATTGGTATGTCAAAAAAGTTAATTATTATGCAAATTACGTAATTATTATGAATGTTTATAAACGCAAAATAAATTAGGCCATCACATTTTCAAATAAAGTATTTATGTACCAAGATTCATTGAAGTGAGATAAGGAAATAACTAAGTACTTGAGATATTGATATTATTGGAAATTCATATGTGCAGTCAATTTAAGTCAAATAAGGTCAGTGCAATGTCACAGAGCAACTACTTACCAAGTTTCATTGAAATGGGATAATCAGTATTTAAAATATCAGCTGAAAAGCTATAAATTGATGAAACATGCAAATTAGGTAATTAATATCAGGTCTGTGCATTTCCCTATGGCATCTAGTTATAATTAAATGTAATAATAATTAGTGCTTGAGACATCAGTAGAAAAGACTAAATTTACTAATTATGCAAATCAGGTAACTAATTACACAGTTTGTCCTAGAAGTATCCATGTACTAAGTTTCATTGTAATGATTAGTATAAAAGCTGACAATTTATGGAAGTAATGGCACAAGAGTCTGTACTTGTACATACATGTACCTTAATTTGCCAGTGGAGGGAGTGTACTTACTCATATTATATAGTCCTTTTCTAATAGGATTCACAATTGACAGGTCATTACATGGACTTCCACCAATCAGAAGATCAATTGGTCCAATTTCTTTCAGCTGGAAAATAAAATGAACCAAACTGTATAACTATTGGGTAAAGTGATGAATGCATGCATGTGAGACAATCAACTAAATGCCAACTAGTTTACCAGTATAATGCACCATCTAAACACATGACAATAGGGCAGTATTAAAGCAGGTAAAGTATAATGCACCATCTAACCACATGACAATAGGACAGTATTGAAGCAGGTAAAGTAAAATGCACCATCTAAACACATGACAATAGGGCAGTATTGAAGCAGGTAAAGTAAAATGCACCATCTAAACACATGACAATTGGGCAGTATTGAAAGCAGGTAAAGTAAAATGCACCATCTAAACACATGACAATAGGGCAGTATTGAAAGCAGGTAAAGTATAATGCACCATCTAAACACATGACAATAGGGCAGTATTAAAGCAGGTAAAGTATAATGCACCATCTAAACACATGACAATAGGACAGTATTGAAAGCAGGTAAAGTATAATGCACCATCTAAACACATGACAATAGGGCAGTATTGAAAGCAGGTAAA